CTGCAGAGATCCCTTTACGGAAGATGTAGGAGGCCTAAATACGCGTTAGGCAATAAGTAGACTCTAGTAATCCTCCACCAAAGTTCATTGCTCCACCATGTTCACTAGCTGAACTGTAGATTTGAGGTTTCCACGGCTGACCCAACTTTGGAGCTCACCTGGCAGGGACATCAGATGTCGTCATCACAATCAGCTGCACCATAGGGGACCAGACAGGTCGTGCATTTTGGAACTCTGTGTCTGATCTGGTTGATATCTCCAGTTATGTATCATTTATATGGCTGAGCAACCAGTGCCTCACATTAGACTTCAGTAATTTGATATAGCAAATCAGAATTAACAGCAAAATGAAGAAACCCTTTTTCAACATCAGGCATTTGAGGTACCCCAAGACTGTTGCAAATGCTTCCATTGATGCATCCAACACAAAATTGGAGAACGTCTCCTCATCATCTTGGTCAATGATCTGTAATGGAGAAGTACCCCACCACCACCTCTTCCTCAGAAGTCATTTTGGTGCAGGACCCTGGAACATGGTCACTATCAACATTATCATCGCTGTTATCATCATGGTCACTATCAATTTAATTTTGTTTCTGCAGCTCTCTGGTTTTGGGTTTTTTTCACGAAAGCTGCAAAAATGTCATGTACTGTATCTCTAAGTCACATGTCTCTACCTTTAGTTGGTTTTTTATAAGCTCCCACAGTTTCAAAGATAAAGGACAGTCCCCGTCCCACCATAATATCACGCACAAAAGTTTTTTTTGTCAACCCTTTCCTCTTATATGAGGCAGTGGAAATTGACACTGGTACTCCTTAGTGTTGTCATGCATACACACAAGAAGGAAAGTTTTAACCCGGCAAGCTAGTTTTTTTTTCCAACCTGTCTGGTATACACAAGCATCACCATACTGCAAAAGTCTAGCAAGGCTGGTTCCAGGGTTCTGCAGAGATCCCTTTACGGAAGATGTAGGAGGCCTAAATACACGTTAGGCAATAAGTAGACTCTAGTAGATCCTCCACCAAAGTTCATTGCTCCATCATGTTCACTAGCTGAACTGCAGACTTGAGGTTTCCACGGCTGACCCAACTTTGGAGCTCACCTGGCAGGGACACATCAGATGTCGTCATCACAATCAGCTGCACCATAGGGGGACCAGACAGGTCGTGCATTTTTGGAACTCTGTGTCTGATCTGGTTGATATCTCCAGTTATGTATCATTTTGTGCCAGGTCAGCAGTAGTCACCCCAAGGTGGCCCAGACCTCTGCTTTTGTTTATAATTTGTCTAACTTGGTAGGAGGTCATAGTATGGCCTTTTGTGGTTCTCCACTGAGAAGTAAAGAGGCCAATTCATTGTTTTTGGAGCGGCTCCTATCTCTTTGCTATACTTTTAAATATGATGAGGAAGGCTTCTACACCCTTGGTTGGGGTTAGCTTCTGCAAGTAGTTATCTGTGTTTGCATGGATTCTTGTTGAGCAACAAGCTGAGTTGTCAATAAGCCAGTTACTCACTTGCTGGTGGTAACTGCCTGCTCCAGGGATTACTGCTGATGTGTCTTTTCATGGTGGGGTCAACACCTGCATTTTGGCCAGTAGTAACTGCTTGACCAGCTTCTTCCATTTATGTGTGAATTTTAGGGCGTGTGTGTGGGTTTAAACCACAGGAAGCACACGGTACACTTCCACTTTAAACGCCAGTTTTTATAACTTAAAATGTCTTTTCCTCCTGGCAGAGATACTTATGTGAGCACCAAATGTATAGGTTAAGGGGAGTGGGGGTCACGAGTGTAGCTATATAATAACAGAAACAGTCTTTATTTTGCTTAAAAGGCAAACCAAACAATGCTTACAGCAGCAAATGGAAATACACTACTCAAAAAAAATTAAAGAAACACTTTTTAATCAGAGTATAGCATCAAGTCAATTAAACTCCTGGGATATTGATCTGGACAGTTAAGTGCAGAGGGGGTTGTTAATTAGTTTCAGCTGGTGTTAATGAAATTAGCAACAGGTACACTAGATAGGCAACAATGAGATGACCCCCAAAACAGGAATTGTTTTACAGGTGGAGACCACTGACATTTTTTTTTTTTTTTTTTTTTTTTTTCCCTACCCATCTTTTTTTCTGACTGTTTTTCACTAGTTTTTTTACATTTGGCTAGGGTCGGGTGTCACTACTGGTAGCATGAGGCGATACCTGGATCCTGCAGAGGTTCCACAGGCAGTCTAACTCCTCCAGGATAACACATCAAAATGTGCCATTGCCAGAAGGTTTGCTGTGTCTCCCAGCACAGTCTCAAGAGCATGGGGGAGATTCCAGGAGACAGGCAGTTACTCTAGGAGAGCTGGACAGGGCTTTAGAAGGTCCTAAACCCATCAGCTGGACCGGTATCTGCTCCTTTGTGCAAGGAGGAACGAGATGACCACTGCCAGAGCCCTACAAAATGACCTCCAGCAGGCCACTGGTGTGAATGTCTCTGACAAAACAATCAGAAACAGACTTCATGAGGGTAGCCTGAGGGCCTGACATCATCTAGTGGGCCATGTGCTCACTGCCCGGCACCACAGAGCTTGATTGGCATTTGCCATTGAACACCAGGTCTACCACTGGCACCCTGTGCTTTTCGCAGATGAGACCAGGTTCACCCTGAGCACATGTGACAGAAATGAAAGGCTCTGGAGAAGCTGTGGAGAATGTTATGCTGCCTGTAACATCGTTCAACATGACCATTTTGGTGGTGAGTCAGTGATGGTCTAGAGAGGCATATCAATGGAGGGATGCTCAGACCTCTACAGGCTAGACAATGGCACCCAAACTGCCACTAGGTATTGGAGTGAAATCCTTGGACCCATTATCAGACCCTACACTGCTGTAAGTGGGTCCTGGGTTCCTCCTGGTACATGACAATGCCTGGCTTCATGTGGCGGGAGTATGCAGGCAGTTTTCTGGAGGATGAAGAAATTGATACCATTGAATGGCCCCCCCCACACTCGCCTGACCTAAATCCAATAGAACACCTCTGGTATAATCATGTTTTTGGTCCATCTGACGCCGCCAGGTTGCACCTCACACTGTCCAGGAGCTCAGTGATGCCCTGGTGGGTACCCCCAGATCTGGGAGGAAATCCCCCAGGACACCATCCGACGTCTCATTAGAAGCATGCCCCAACATTGTCAGGCATGCATACAAGCACGTGCGGGGGACCATACAAACTACTGAGTACCATTTTGAGTTGCTGAAATGAAATTTCAGCAAAATGAACTAGCCTGCTGCTTATATTTTTTCACTTTGATTTTGGGGTGTATTTGAATTCAGTCCTCTGTAGGTTGATAATTTTCATTCCATCAAACGATGGGACATCCTTACATTCCTAACACATTACCCAGTTCATATCAGTATAGATATCCAGCATGATATTTTTCTCCATTGAAATCTGAGGTGTTTTCAAAGTGTTCCTTTAATTTTTTTTGAGCAGTGGATTTTTTTTCCAGGTCAATATCATAATGCAAAGTCCACCAATCTTCAGAATAATAACAAAACAATGTCGTACCAACTAAATGCTGTACTTGCAGGAGGGATATCATGGTTCAGGAGCCTTTTGCGGTGTTTTCCAACAAAGAGACAGCAGCCAGCAGGCAGGGCCCAGCAATTATGGAGCTTCAATCAGCTTTTTTCCCAGACACTTGTCTAAGTTTGAACACTCCCTTCCCTCTACACATGCTCCATGGAGGTTACTGCATATAAACTCCCTCCTGCATGTAAGACTAACCCTCTACTGCCCCTTAAAGAACCATAATCCAAATAGGGGAAAGATATAATGTATTGCACATCCAGGACCCATCCCTGGTGTTCTGTACAGCGTGGTCTGAGCATCCATTATCTGGGACAGGGCTGGCTCTGGTACTGTGGCTGTAGCAGGGTGTTCAGTGTGGTCACCTGCTGTATTCTTATTATGAGCACTCTGCAGCCTCTAAGACAGCAGTGTACGTTCTGTGAAGAAACTGATTCTGGATTGTCTACCAGGATGGAGGCCATCTTGCCTCTTCCCTAGCAAAACTCAGCAGATGGTCTGCATGATTTTGGCCAATTTTGTGGTGGCTTTGGAAGTGCAGGGAAGCAAGGGTGACATAGCTATGCACAGTAGCCAGGTCAGGGACTATAGGATGCCTAGTGAATGTGTGAAATGGAGCATGACTGGTAGGGAAATATATGAAGAAACAACAGGTGAGATGTAGCAAGCACAAATCCACACAGTGAATTAAGCATTAGCAGGAAGATTGTAGGTTCTCAATTACAGCTTAATTTCCAGCAAAATGAACATCAAGCATTATAGTAATTACACCATTAAAATGTCACTGTTTTGTTCAGGTCCACATTAAGTACGGTATATACAGTAGCAGTCCCGAAATGCTCAAAAAATGTTTTTCAATGTTTTTTAATCCTAATTCCAACCACTGATTTTTTCCAACTCTGGTTTGCTTAGCACCTGCAATAATCTACAGATATTCCACAATAGACATATCACAGTACCTTTTTAAGTATGTTACCCATACCTCAGCCTAATCGTTCTTAATCGTCCATGAAATCACCAATGTTTCATTTCTTTCATTGAGTCTTTAACCACCTCCCACCCGCCATATAGTAATATGAATGGACGCAAGGTGGTTCACTCTCATTCTGGGAAGACGTCATATGACGTCCTCCCATTCTCATGCGCGGCTCAGGGAGCGTGCAGCACGGCAAACGGCGGTGCTCTGTGTCCCTCGGACACAGCGGATCACGGAAAGAGCTGAAGATGTCGGCTCAGTTTTGTGATCAGCTGTGTCCAATCACAGCTGATCACATGTAAATAGGGAAATGCCGGTTATCGGCATTTCTCTCCTCTCGAGCTGTCACGCTGACATCTCGAGAGGAGAGGAGAGCTAGTAATCGGCTATCCGCGGAGGGGACATGTACACTGATCATCAGGGCATTGATGATCAATGTAGCCCCAGCAGTGCCACCTGTCCAGTGCTCATCAGTGCCTCATGCCAGTGCCCATCAGTGCAACATATCAGTGCCTACCAGTGCACATCAATGCCACATATCAGTGCCCATCTGAGCTGCCTTTCAGTGTCACCCATCAGTGCCAGTCAGTGCTATCTATCAATGCCAATCAGTGCTGCCAATCAGTGCCACCTATCAGTGCCAGTCAGTGCCGCCTATAAGTGCCTGTCAGTGCCGCCTATCAGTGCGCATCAGTGCTGCCTATCAGTGCAGTCAGTGCTGCCTATCAGTGCCAGTCAGTGCCGCCTATCAGTGCTGCCTTTCAGTGCCCGTCAGTGATGCTTGTCAATGCCCATCAGTGCCACCTACCAGTGCCTCCTCAACAGTGCCCATCAGTGCCACCTCTCAGTGTTCATCAGTGCAGGCTATCAGTGCCCATCACTGCAGCCTCATTAGCGCATATAAGTGAAGGAGAAAAATCACTTATTTACAACATTTTATGACAAAAACTAAGAAAAAACTTTTTTTTTTCAAAATTTTCAGTGGTTTTTGGTTTGTTTAAGAAAAAATAAAAATCCCAGAGGTGATTAATACCACCAAAAAATAAAGCTCTATCTGTCACAAAAAAATTATAAAAATGTCATATGGGTACAAATGATGCATGACCGCGCAATTGTCATTCAAAGCGCGACAGCGCTGAAAGCTGGAAATTGGCCTGGGCAGGATGGGGGTATAAGTGCCCTGTAGGCTAGCGGTTAAAATTTGATCAGGAGCAGGAATTTAACTTTCTTTAATTATTTTTAAGTTATATATTATTTAATTACTTAGAAATAAAATTTGATCAAGAATGCAAACTGATTCTGTACACATTTACTGTGCTGGCTGCACTAGATGATGACAACATGTTTGTTTAACAAAAAAACAGTCCTGTGGGCAATTTTACCCACTGAAATTATGCAATGAAAACTGGGATTTTGTAGTTCTGTAAATGAAAATGATGGTGTTTTCTGCCCCAGATGTTCAGACAAATGTTTGTGCTACATAAAAATTAAATATTACACAGTACTGCCATGCAAATTTTACAGGCTGTGACACTATGCAATAACAATTAGGGCACATCCATGGGGTTTTGTAATTCTTTACAAAGATTTTATTTTGTGCATGTTTAATGCATGGACGCTTGATACACTTTTTCAATCCTTGCTGACATTCTAGGCACTGCAGAGACCTCCAAAATTCTCCTTTTCTCCCTGTACTTTAAATTTTTCTGTGCCCCTACTCACTAGCACACTTTAAAGCAGAAGGTAAAGCGATATTAAAAGGAAGGCTTGGTAAAAAATAATTTAAAAAAGTCATACTTACCAGTGCCTTTGCACAGAGCAGCCCCAATCCTCCTCTTCTCAGATCCCCCACCCGGGGCTCCTGGCCACTCCATCCTGCCGAGTGCCTCCAGAGCAAGCAGCTAGCTATGGAGGCACCTACACAGGTTCACTCCTGCATATCCATTCACACACACAAAGCTGTGGTTCAGCCCCACCCCCTCTCTCATTGGCTCACTGACTGTGATTGACAGCAGTGGGAGCAATGGCTCTTGCTGCTGTCCCAGCCAATGAGGAGGGAGAGACCCTGGAAAGCCATGGCTCTCTTGCACATAGCTGGATCGCAATGGGGCTCAGGTATTGGTGGGCTGCTGCACCCACAAGGTTTTCTACCTTCATTGCATGCATAGAATGCATAAAGATAAATAAGCTGGAGCCTTTACAAACACTTTAAGCACTTGCCCTCCAGAGGATTTACCACGCTTCCTGACCAGGTCTTTTTTTTGCTATTAGGCACTACGCTATTTCAACTGATAATTGCGCAGTCATGCAATGCTGTACCCAAAGTTTATGTCCTTTTTTTCACACAAATAGAGCTTTCTTTTAGTGGTATTTGATCATCTGTGCAATTTAAATTTTTTATGCTACAGTCAGGTCCATAAATATTGGGACATCGACACAATTTCTAAAATTTTTGGCTCTATTACACAACCACAATAAATTAGAAATGAAACAAAGAAGATGTGCTTTAACTGCAGACTGTCAGCTTTAATTTGAGGGTATTTACATCCAAATCAGGTGAATGGTGTAGGAATTACAACAGTTTGCATATGTGCCTCCCACTTGTTAAGGGACCAAAAGTAATAGGACAGAATAATAATCATAAATCAAACTTTCACTTTTTAATTTGGTTGCAAATCCTTTGCAGTCAATTACAGCCTGAAGTCTTGGAACGCATAGACATCACCAGACGCTGGGTTTCATCCCTGGTGATGCTCTGCCAGGCCTCTACTGCAACTGTCTTCAGTTCCTGCTTGTTCTTGGGGCATTTTCCCTTCAGTTTTGTCTTCAGCAAGTGAATATGCTCAATCGGATTCAGGTCAGGTGATTGACTTGGCCATTGCATAACATTCCACTTCTTTCCCTTAAAAAACTCCTTGGTTGCTTTTGCAGTATGCTTTGGGTCATTGTCCATCTGCACTGTGATGCGGCGTCCAATGAGTTGTGAAGCATTTGGCTGAATATGAGCAGATAATATTGCCCGAAACACTTCAGAATTCATCCGGCTGCTTTTGTCAGCAGTCACATCATCAATAAATACAAGAGAACCAGTTCCATTGGCAGCCATACATGCCCACGCCATGACACTACCACCACCATGCTTCACTGATGAGGTGGTATGCTTAGGATCAAGAGCAGTTCCTTTCCTTCTCCATACTCTTCTCTTCCCATCACTCTGGTACAAGTTTGATCTCGGTCTCATCTGTCCATAGGATGTTGTTCCAGAACTGTGAAGGCTTTTTTAGATGTCGTTTGGCGAACTCTAATCTGGCCCTTCCTGTTTTTGAGGCTCACCAATGGTTTATCATCTTGTGGTGAACCCTCTGTATTCACTCTGGTGAAGTCTTCTCTTGATTGTTGACTTTGACACACACATACACCTACCTCCTGGAGAGTGTTTTGATCTTCACCAGGGAAAGAATTCTTCGGTCATCCACCACATTTGTATTTCCGTGGTCTTCCGGGTCTTTTGGTGTTACTGAGCTCACCGTGCTTCCTTCTTTTTAAGAATGTTCCAAATAGTTGTTTTGGCCACGCCTACTGTTTTTTTTGCTATCTCTCTGATGGGTTTGTTTTGTTTTTTTCAGCCTAATGATGGCTTGCTTCACTGATAGTGACAGCTCTTTTGGATCTCAGCTTGACAGTTGACAGCAACAGATTCTAAATGCAAATAGCACACTTGAAATGAACTCTGGACCTTTTATCTGCTCATTGTAATTGGGATAATGAGGGAATAACACACACCTGGCCATGGAAACATCTGAGAAGCCAATTGTCCATTACTTTTGGTCCCTATAACCATTTTCAATACCGTGCAATTTTACACCTTCCTGCCCAGGCCATTTTTCAACGTTTCAGCACTCTCACACTTTGAATGACAATTGCGCAGGTCATACAACACTGTAACCCAAACTAAAAATTTTATCATTTTCTTCTACACAACTAGAGCTTTCTTTTTTCATGGTATTTAATCACCACAGGGGTTTTTATTTTTTGCTAAATTAACAAAAAAAAGAACCTAAAATTTTGGAAAAAAAAAACACATTTTTCTTTGTTTCTGTTATAAAAAGTTTACAAATAAATAATTGTTCTTTCATAAAATCTTTAGGCCGAGTGTATTCTGCTACATGTCTTTTGGTGAAAATAACCCAAATTAGGATGTATTAATTTAGTTTGTAGTGAAAGTTAATAGAGTTCACAAACTATGGTATAGATCTGAGAAAATTGATCAATCCTGAAGTACTGACAGCCAATCTCTAATTTCTTGAGGTCCAAGAATGGTCAGAATAATAACAGATATCCCCCAAATGACCCCTTTTGTGCAGAGTAGACAGTCCCCGACGTACTTCATAAGAGGATGGTGAGTTTTTTGAAGTGGTATTTTTTTTTGTCATAATATTTTCGTAAAATTAAAAAAATTAAAAAAACTCATAGTTTCACTATTTTTTTTTTACATACTGTCACCAGTGCAGTACAAGAAGCGTCCATCAGTACTGGCATGGCGGTGACAGGGACACTGACTGGTGACAGTATGAAAAAAATATATATATATATATTTTTTTTTTTTTTTTTTTAATTATTTTTAATTTTTTATTACATTTTTTTAAAAAAAAATTTTAAGATTTTTTTTTTTCATATTTTACTATAACCAAAGTAGTACCAATGTTACCATAGTTAACATTGTACTACTTTGGGGAAGTGACAGTATTTTTTTTACACAATTTTGCTTATAGCAAAGAATTACTTTGCTATAAGCAAGCATTTACGCTTAATCAGACAATCGATTCAATTCAGGTTTTTTTTTTTTTGTGCATAGCTGTGATTTGGTCCACAGCTAATCACATGGGGACATGTGCATGTGATTAGCTGTGACCAAATTCACAGCTGGGCCACTAGTATACAATGGATGGCATGAATTAAGCCATCCATTGTATACAACTGTCATGTGACCTGCTGTGATTGGTCCACAGCAGGTCACATAGTACCAGCAACGGGGGGGGCTGATACTCAGATCTGTCATCGGCCCTCGTATGAGGTACACGCTGCCGGTGACAGATCGCGCCGCTGCGCGGCTCGGCATTATGCGCAAAACTGCGCATGTGCAGGAGCACACCAAATGGGGTGCACGACCCGGATGGTGCCGAAGCACTTTTGAAGCGCCGCCAAACGGCCCATTGGCCGGGCGGCTATTGGTTAACAAGTGGGAGGCCACATATGCAAACCTGTTGTAATTCCTACACCGTTCACAACTGATTTGGATGTAAATACCCTCAAAATAAAGCTGACAGTCTAACAGTTAAAGCACCTCTCTTGTTCATTTCATTTCAAATCCATTGTGGTTGTGTATAGAGCCACAAATTTTAGAATTGTGTAGATGTCCCAATATTTTGGACCTGACTGTAATAAACAAAAAAAGATTGAACATTTTTGAAAAAAAAACTGTACATTTTTTACTTTCAGCTATAAAAAAAAAATATATAGTAAACTCACAGTTAGTCATAAATTTAGGCCAAATGTATTCTGCTACATGTTTTTGGTAAAAACAAAATCCCACTAAGTGTATATTGATTGCTTTGTTGTGAAAGTTATAGCATCTACAAACTATGGTCTAGATACTGGCAATTTACGCCATTTTTTGCTATAAAGCGCTGCGCTAGTTTTTAACTGACAATTGACGCGGCAATACCCCTCCGGTCATGCAATACTGTATAAAAATGAAAATTTATGTCCTTTTTTCATACAAAATAGAGCTTTATTTTGGTGGTAA